GCAGAGCATAGTAAGCAGGGTCCTCCCAAGGTTGCACAAATGTGCCATGTGCAGAAATGTCTCAGACATATTTCCTATGTGCCCAGCCAATGGGAGTGCCAAGGAAAACAGGAGAGATTAAAACTTTATCTCAAAGAGCAGACTGCAGGACTGCTTTCCCACAGCTTCTGCTTCAGCATTGGGAATTAAGTAACACCAGGGAGGGATCTAACGGGTGAACAGTGCACCCCAACTACGTCCAGGCCTAGACCTAAATCAGCTCCACCCCGACTGGGCAGGAAACTTTACCAGCACCCTTGCACAGCAGTGATCTCTGTAGACCCAGCAATACAGGGAAGAAGAGATAATGTTTATGGCAGAACTCTCTCCCAAGCCAAAATCCTGCACGTGGCAATGTTCATTACTAAAGCGAATACATTCTTCCTTGCACAGAAATCTCGGAAAAGTCTTCTTTCCAAAAGATCGCTAAGGATTGTATAGACAATTAAATTTCATGGTATCATTTTCAAGGGAGGTACCAGTACGATATGGGTTTTTATTGCTGTTTTTTTGTTTGTTTGTTTTAAGCAGGGAAAAAAAGAATAGAGCGATGGCAAAATTAAGCAGCTGTCTTAGGCCAGAGTGGAATCATAAACATACTGATTGCAGATTTCCAGTGTGCATCACTGGAAACACACACATTATTCCCTGATAAACTTTAGGAGATTCCATAACCAAAGCCTGGATGCTATTTTAAATTGGCTAACATAGATGAAGTGTGTTACCTGTATTAAAAACTTAGTCCCAATTCAAATTCCACTGAGCTCTCAGTCAACTTTTACCCAGTTCACCAGTACTCATATGGGACCATGAGGTCAACATAGATCTGTTGCAATAGGATGTTCCTTTTTTAATTAAATATATATGTATGCTACGCATATATATATGCACATGCTATGCATTCAAAGATCAGTAAAACTTCTTGAATATTTCTCTCATACTTTTACAGAATGTATGCATCATTGCCCAACACTGCCTCAATGCAAGATTTCGTGTTTCATTTATGCTGTTTAATAGTCAGTATGTATTTTGTGTAAATGGTTACAAATCTGCAAATTTCATTCAAAATGAAGTCTCGCTATAGTTTGCTTAGCTGAGAGGTATTTTGCTGGGAAGCCAGAAGAGTAAGGGTGACAACCTGCTCCAAATTGGAACGATAGAATTGTTTGGATTGGAAGAGAACTTAAAGATCATCTAATTCCAACCAAAAGGTTGTTGTCCCTTTTGTTCTACAAAAAGGAAACACAGACACCACTATTTTCTAGTTTCTTCACTCCGCTTTGCTGGCAATATTGAAAAACATGGTGACAGTCTTTAAGGTGTCCAGATATATACGCTTGGGCCAGTAACATGGCTTCAACAGTACCAAAGTGAACAATGCAATTAAAAGAGCACTTGATTATTAAAAGTTGAAAAATGCAAACTTGTCAGTAGGTATTTAGATGCTACCTGTGTTGCGTGTAAGGATGGGTCAAGGATTTTTTTAATTTTATTTCTAAGGAGACAAAGTCACAGAACTTGCAGCTACATTTGCATTTGTGGTGCAGTTGTTACTGCAAACAATACCTGCCTTGTAAAGGGGTCCCTGTTGACAATGGCAGGTCTGAATAAACAGTCAGCTGGCACATTGGTTTCATTTAGCTCAAGTTTACATGCCTTGTCATGTTCCTCCAGCTGTCATTTGTCACTAGGATTTATACAAGATCAAACATCATTTCCCCTCAAACTGTACCCACATTTCTTTCTTAGGAGAAGATGAAAAAGAGGGGGAGGGGGAGGGATGGGGGGAGGACAGAATCCTCAGTTCTTCTGTAGGGCACTCCATCTTTGCATGGAAGAGCCAGCATGAAGTCTTTTGTCCCAAGATCAAGAGCTGAGCCCTGCTGTGCTGTGGTTTCCCAGGCAGCTCTTGCAGCAGAGGAGCCTCACTCAGAGGCATCACACTGAAGCCAGAGCCCTAAAGCAAAAGGCAGCCAGACAAGGGGGTTGTTTCAGTAGCACGTAGCTGGCCACAGAGCCTTGGTGCTACTGACGTATCTGCAAGCCAAGGAGTTGTCAGAAATCATTTGTTTTCAGCTTTCCCTGACCTTAAAGATATATAGAAATTTCTGTGCTCGTGCTGGGCGCTTGCTCATGCTCTGCAGAGGGACAGGGCAACTCAGGACTGGGCACAGCAGGCAGCTTCAGGTGTGCACAAAGGGCATGTACATGCAGATATACACAGAAAAATAAAGTATCTAAGAGTTTTGGCATAAAAGTCACTGTAAAGAAAATCCCGTCCACTGAGCAACATATTTATAAATGTGATCCAGAGACTGACCCTAACACAAAGCAAACCTTGAGTTTAGGCTGCGTGCTTGTGCTCAGTGCCTGATGAGGAGTGGTAGGACACTGTCATTGCCCACCCCCCACACCAGCACAAACACTGCCCTTGGCTTGGTCTGCTTGCAGATTAAAAAGATGACTTTAGGGGAGAGTGACCTTGGCTTCATTGAAACTCCCCACTTGCTATTAAGAATCCAGCATGGGTTTGCAGGAATAGCAGGAACCATACGGGAGAGCACTAGGATTAGGGACAGTGGAGCTACAGCTGCAAAGGTCAGTACTGCTCTGTGGGGAGTGCCTGAGCCACATGTGTGTGACTCCAGCCCCCCGGCTAAACAGTGCCAAAGAGCTCAGCAGTCTGGGGAGAAAAAACCCTCTCCTTCCTTCCCTGCTTGCGTACAGCCTTGGCCCCCCAAGATCATGTCTGCTGCAGGGAGCATTTAACCAGCAAGAGCACCTGGGAGTCAGGCTGTGTGTGTTTGTTTTTACAAGGAGGAGCAAGGGGTTAAACAACAAACCAGAAGGGGAAAAGCAGACGATAAGCTGGTTTTGTGGCCTTGTCTGCTCTCCTGTACCTCTCCGAGAGTGCTGCAACACCCCGGGTCCCAGCCCCTCCAGCCTAACTTCCATTTACTGAGGGGTATTGTTAAGCAAATCACGTACACTTTCCCTGTTAAAATCCCATTGAACAAGCTCTAACACCATGCAGACTGAGGGGTGGGTTTCACACCCCATGAACACAGTGCTCAGCCACCAGCAGGCTTGGGGTGCTACACAAGTACCCCACAGTGGCCTGCTGCCACCCCATCACCATGTGCCACCACCAGCACCCAGTGCCCCATGCACACCAGCACAAGTGGAACCTGGAGGTGGGTTTATCCATACAAATTGTTTGTGATTTTTCACCCACCTGGCTACAAAGGTGGTTGTTAAACAGCACTGAAACTTTCATTTTTATACCTTAGGGGCATGCATTTTCCTGCCCCATACATCCAAACATTAATGAAATGGCTGGAGCCCTGCAAAGAGTGAAAGCCATGCAGCCTAGCCCTGTAGGACAAACTGCCCCTGACATGGAATGCTAGAAAATCCCAAGATAAATCCATGAAAGTAGCCTTCGAGCAGGATTTAGTGCCACAGACTCTGTTCATCCTTAGATGTTATTGCCTCTGAGCAGGATGAGTATCAACACAGGGGGTGGCGGACCTTTGTCATGCAGCAGGAATGTTAACATCCTCCAGATTTAAATGGCACCATCTGAAGAGCAGTTCATGTTCTGAAATTAATTTTTCATGTGTACATCATGGGGCCCTAATAAAAATGTAAAAAAATAAAAAATAAAATACACCATCTTTGTTGTCCTCCAATCCTAACAGGACTCTCTTGGCATTTTTCTTCACTGTTGTTTGTAGACAATGTTAATGTTATATTACCAGTCTCACAAAATAGATAAAAAGACAAAAACAAAAGGCAAAACAAAACAGAAAAAATATTATTTTTGATAATGGAAAAAAAAAAAAAAAAAAAAAAAAAAAAAAACACAGAAATGTGCCAGGAAACAATATAAAAATTAGCAGGGACTTTTGATGTTTTCTTTTCCCTCCTTCTTCATTCTTGACTGAATTATAGGGCGTAGCACAGTATTTTCAAAGCATCTTTCACAAACTTTATTTAGTTCAGTGATTCACACTTCCCAAGCAAGGTTAACCAAAGGGAGGGATGTTTCTCCATTTGCCCCTAGCTATTCCCCAACTTTCAGCTAAAATGTATCACATTGTTAAAAATAATTGTCAAAAAGGAACCTTTCCTGATCTCTTCCAATTGCATTGTTTTTTTCCAACAATGCTCAGGATGGTTCATTGCTTACTAATTTTAGAAAGCGATTTGAGTATTTCACTCAATCCAAAGCCTCTTGCATAACACAGATGCACATAGTTAAGACTGAGAACATTATGGTCATTGCCCAACAGAGTTTGTCTCCTTCTACCTAACACACACCTCCAGTCTGCAAAAGCAAGAAGTTATCTAAGTAAGTCAGCTGACTTTCTTTCCTAAACAAAGTAAACTCCCCAGAAAAAGCTGGAGCTGAGCCTGCACAGACTCCACCTCAACCTCCATGTTCTAGCAACCCACCTGAGAAGCACAGTGAAGCATGTCCCAAGCAGAGAATGCTTGGGACATGCTTTACTGTGATCATCAGGACAAGCGTGATCTCTGAACAACTTCTCATCCTTTCTGGCTATGCAATAGAGAGAACAACATCAACTATGTCAGGGCTCCAGCATAGTGAAAAAAACATACATTGAGGGTGGGGGGAACTCCATACTCAGTTAAAGCAACAAATGGATAGGGTGTAACAGTCAAAGTAGCCAGTTGGGATCAGCAGCAGTAAGAAAAGAGAGGTCTGAAGAAATCCAATAGTCAGATACTCTTTGAAAAGATTCTGGGGGGAAAAATAAATTAATAAAAAAATCAGTGGTGGAAAGTTTTACTCCATCCTGCTTCCGTTTCATCGACTTCAAGAGCAGCTCCTGCTGTCTCCAATAGAAACAATTTAAGGTCAGATTTGTTTGAAGGGAACAGAGAGGAGAGCCTCTGGTTTCTTTCCAAGAAGCAGTTTATTTTAGATTCACAAAAGGTCAGGAAGAATAAATTGCAATGGATACTCTTCCTGTGTAGCCAAACATATTTCCAAGCAGAAACACAATGTTATGAAGAAACAAACAAGTAAATACAAGAAGGTTGAAGAAAACCCCAACCCTAAAATCTTTCAGACTGTGGAATGGTATCGCTCTTACACATGCTCAAGGAATAAAATTGCATTTACAACAACAGTGGAACAAAATGGTGGCTGTGACTTACATAAGTGCAGGTCTCTTTTAGGGGATGGTTACGCATCAGAATGAATACCCTAGCGCTGAATGAAACTCTGCCAGCATGGCTTTGTCTCGATCATCTATTTTAGGCTCTCATACAACACAGGAAATCACGTATCAGCCAGAAAACCCGTAATTCTGCAGGAGAATGCTGAATGTGTACGATAATATATGCTGTCTGTTACCTACAGGATGTGAGGAGGTTTATTTAGGTCCTTCATCCCCATTCTGCATGCTCTAACAGCAGCACATTTAGATGCTTGGATGCTTTTATTCCTACATGGCTTTCTCCTAACACGTATGTGCAGCTCCATTTCACCAAGTGATGGAGAAAAATGCAAAGAACTAACTGGAGGATGCTAATCTACATAAATCATAAACGAAGAATATCATCAATTAGATGTTTAGAATATTATACATTTAACAAAAATTAATGAAATGCAGATCCTGTAAAGGGAAGAAACTACTGGATAGGTTTATAATATTGTCTGTTGATATCCCAAGTACTTAGAAAGCCTACTAGGACTCGCAAATAACATTGCTGTCTCTCCAGAGCACGTTTTTTTCACCTGTGCCTAACCCTGAGCTGGATTTTGACTTGATTCCCTAAGGAACCCTGTCCAGACTTTTGTGAAGGAAGCCTGTCTGTCTAGGAGGCCAGATCCCTTCTGCTCCAAGCACTGGGAGACATGGCTCCAGAGCTGGGATTTCTCCATCCTACATACACATCCATAGCACAGCAGTAACAACCTGCTGAGTTTTTAAGAAATAGTGGCATTTTTGTATAATTGCTGTGATCAGTGATGCCTCATGTTAATCAAATGACACCAACATAAAATGATGGGCTGCTGGAGGACTAGAAAGCAACTTACCCTCAGCTGTTTCTGACATGTTTGTGTGCACAGCACAGTTTACCATTAAAAAAGGGCAAATAGTGACCTATCTCCAATTTGGGGCTGAGTCCCTTAAGTAATAAATTGAAAGCTAATGTCTAAACAAAGAGACACAACTACAAATTCAGTTTGACACTCTCCAGGAAAAGGGTTATTAGGCAGCAGAGGCCAGATGATCTTCATCTGTCCCTTAGGAGATTTCTGCTGTACTTTAATGACCGCTAAAGATATTATTCATTTTAGTCACCCCAGTTCCTAACAACACACCAGTGTGAAAAATTCAGACCAGTTACTGGATATAGGTGCATAATAGCTCTACATGTGCCTTGTTTCCCCCCAGTCTTCACCCCTCCTTGTGAACCATCGCTCAGAAGCACAGCCAGAGGCCACGCAACCTGCCATGCAGCAAAGGATGCATTTTGCCCAGCACATCCCAGGGCTAGGAAAGGCTGGGGCACCATGGCACAGCCTGGGGAGTGGGAGGGGATCTGCAGCACACCACTGGCTTTCCTTCAGGGCTAAATCATAGGAATCAGCATGGCCATGGTATCCCAGACCACCAACAGATTCTCCACCATCATTTAGGAATGATGGATGTGAAATACTGCTGGAGGATTTCATAAAACCATCTCCTTGCCTCTTCTCTCCAAAATCCTGGGGCATAATCCTAAGGAACAAAATAGGATTTCAACAGGTAGTCCAAGTGTGATTCAGCTATGCAACTTTTCCTTTTTGAAGATAAATCTTCTGCTTTGAAGATAAATCATCAGTTTCTGAACTTCTAGATGGCTGGAAACACACATTATCCTTCACTTTGGAAGACTACTTACTATCTTCTCCACCCCCTGAGGTTTTCTGTCAACAGTGATAACTTCCATCCAGGATGAGAACTATTAGAAAGCATTAAAAGTGTTTCCACTTAACTGTAACCAAGTTATTTTTTTTAGGAACTCATAAAACCCAAGCTTCTTCTTCCATTATATTCTCCCTGCAAAAGTCAGTAATGTTTCCAGATAGACAGGAAAACAGTTCTACCCCGAGGAAAAGACATTTGAAAGAGACTTACATGCCCTGAAGAGAATTCAAAGGCAACAATCAGCAATCAGTGGTATAAAGAAAACATGGAAACAACATTTACATTAACAATACATATTCTAGAGCTGGAAAAAAAAAAATCTGCTGAAAAGAAATGCAGAAAGGGATGGGAGTTTACCGACTACCAATTTAATGGAGTCACAGTGATGGAATAAGTGCCTCATCCATAACTGATGGTCTCATTTTAGGAAATGTCCAGACACTTTTTTCTGTCCAGTTACATAGTTATGTCTTTCCCCTGCTTCCTCCTTGTTTTAAATTAGGAACCTACATGGTCAACTGCCAGAATGAACAGAAAATGCTTGTTCATTCCAGAGCACACAGCTGTATGCAAATATTCCCACTAAAATCCCACTGTAACCTCTCTGCAGTCCTGTAGGCTGCTGCATTCAGTCCATTCTGGACTGTAAAAAATCTAATGAGAAAATGCTCCCACAAACTGTGCTTGACCCAAAAGTAGGAGAGCACAGTTAACTGCATGAACTTTTAACTTCTAAAATGCAGGACACCCTGGCAGATGCCATTGCTTCTGACAAAGCCCATCCTCAAACAGCAGCAAGTGTACACGATTCTCATGGATACATGCTGTAGGGACAGATGAACAGTTGGTATTGTGTCTATCATTGACTTCCAATAACAGCACACTCAGTTGCTCATCCCCATAGGTCAAGGAAGGCATGGTGACCAAGTTCAGATGAAGACAGGCTGTTTAATGGGCTGAAAATTTAAAGGTGGTGAGCTTCTTCAGAAGTGATGGGCTGAATGAAGACCTTATGCATCAATGGCATCCTCTTGAGTGGGTGGCTTTGATGTTTAACATGAGCTGGGAAGCAAAGGCAGGCAGCTCTGGATGGAGAGGGACAGTCCTTGCTGGACCCCACAGCTCTCAGAGAGATTCAGGATTATCCTCCATCAAAACTAGAAGCTTGCTTTTCCTCTCCTCCCTGCCTTTATTTTTATCTGCAGGCACTTTCAGAGCAATAGGTATGTAGGCTAAGCAATTCCCACTAGCACAATTGCACCTACAGCTGTTTTTTAGTCAGCCTGCCTTGCTGTCATACAACTGAGAAGCAGTTCACACATGGGAACTGCTTATTAAGGTACAAAATGTGTCACTCAATACCCTGCCTGATTCAGTGAGAAAATTTAAGCATATATTTAATTACCAGCATGTTTTGACTATTTGCTTGCAGAAAAGTGTCACAAATGTAAGTGCCTTGCACATTTCAGTGCAGCAGTACAAAAAGCATTGTGCGATCTCAAATAAAATTGTCAAAATTAAGGTTTAGATTTTAAAAGACTATCCAGAGGTGGGCTTGATGAGAAAAAAAGGGTTGCCATGCCTAAATGAGCACATCTGGCCAACTTTATTTTTAACAGGACAAAGACCCTTTTCTCTGAGGCCAAGATATTATGTCTTTAATCTTTTTCCATATTCCTCATGCTTATCGCTTATGGGTGTATCATAAAGATGTCTTTATCACTTCTTCCTTTTGATTAAAGACTCTGAGTAATGCTAGCCAATATCAATAACGATGCCCTAAAAATAACATTAGCAGTACACTAGAACCTTGCAGGGAGCACAACATTAATCCCAATAGTACCTCTCCTACAGATCACTTCAGCTCTTCGAAAAGACAATGAAGAGCAAGGCTTTTCAATTACCCTACGTTTGGAATTTCGCTTGTCTTAGAGAGAGAAACCCTCGGTGATCTCTTCTTCATTACTCAGATATTATGCAAGCAGGTTGAGGGCTGAGAGAGAAAAAATAATTTGGCTGAAAACCTTATCCCAAACAGAAACCAAATGTCAGCCACTTTTGAAGTACCATAAACTTTTAAAACATGAGTCTAAGGAAACATGGAAAGTAATTAGTCTTACCTCACATTCAGTGTCCACAAAACCAAAAATTATCCCCACAGGTATGTGCATATACACACATTTGGACAGAAATATACCTCAATCACATTTTTGACCTATGTATATCAGCCATGTGAAAGGTGAGACTACAGCTAAACCCTCCAAAAATTCCCATAAAAGGCATTGATTACCAACCAGCCAATTTATTATATACAATTGGTATGTATATAGGACACAATGATAATAAGGACACTTTGTGGTCCTAAAGGAAATAACAATTGTGGGAAATCATTTTAACAGTGCTCAGAAGGATTACAAAATCCCAGTTTCGTGTCATTCTACAGCAGACTAATGATTTCCCATAAATTATAACAGATTTCAAGGGAAAACAATTAATGGTCACAGAATCAAAGACATATGAAAGCTTTCAGATTTAAAGTGACATTTCTCATTTAAAAACAGCTGTTTTTAATTAGCTTCTTCCTGAGACCACTGAAGGTACATTTCCCCCTCTACAATGGAGAGACCATCTACACTCAAGAAGATTGCAAAGCTGTTATCTATGACAGCAAAATTATTAGTAAACTGGCCAAATACTCTTTAAAAGAATAAAATGTGGTAAACGGTCCAAAGATTACATTTCTACATTTCTGTCTTTCACTGTCACAATCAACTGCTGAAGAAAAGCCAAACTATAATGATACTCTTATTGCAAACATCCCCAGCACAACCATCAGACCAAAACCCTGCCTCAGCTACTGAAGGGTGAGGCTCTGCATTACTCATGTTGCGTGAGAATTTTCCTTTTACTAACTTAACATCTTGGTCTCATACCTCATTAATGCTCTCCAAGCAGGTAGCAACCAATAAAAGGACTTTTTTTCAGGGAGTTGGTTTGTCAGTGTTTTATGCATGTCTTGAAATAACTAGCAACTTATTTGTGCGTGTACATGTCTAGACAGGTGACTGAAAAAAATGTCCTTGTATTCATAAAACATGTCACAGATTATGTTTTTCTACAGAGACTTAAGAACCCAAGACAAAAACATTACTAAAGTTGACCAGATGCTGAGAATTATTCTGATTTTGAACATGTTCAAGCAAGACAAAGAGATGTCTGACCTGCTTTTGATCATTCATTTTCACAAAATACTTCAGCCAGGCATTTGAGATGCATGCGCTGTTGGTTTCTTTGAGCAGTTACAAATCAAAACATGTGCAGAGCTGAAATGCAATCAGTTATGTGGAGGTTACTAAAATGTCCTGGGCTGGAATCTCTTCAACCAAACTGCTTAAGACTTCTGTGTATAAGTTCGCATGGGGTGTATTGGAAGTTGGATTTGATTCATGGTCAAGATTGCCAGCAAATCTGCTTGATGCCTGTGATTTTCCTTTTTTTTTTTTTTTTTTTAAAAACCTGTTAATGACATTGGGCTCTGTACATCTAGTTATGTTAATGAAACAATCACTCGTAAAAATAAAAATAATAGAAATAAAACCCAGGACGTAACTGAGCATATACTATTCTGTTACATGATTTGCCTTCTTCGCAATGAAGTAAGGGGGGAGGTCAGAATTTTGAGTCAACATCCTAGCTAAACACAAGGTATTTGTTTCCAGAACTCCCAAATTTCTGGGGCACAGGGCCTAAACCCAGATGTCCAGAGGCAAGCACTTACTTTCAGTGCTCCGTAACTGAATAATGAGTTCATTGGTCCTGCAGAAGGGCCGATGCTCCATAGACATTCCCGTGCTCCTTACAGTTCCTGAAGCCACAGATTGCACTCTTTAAGCCATACCTCCTACCTGAAAATCGCAGCTATAGATTGCAGCAATAGCACACTATTTAAGGTGAGATAGTGAAACAAAATTAATGATGCAGGATGAAAAAATCTCTGATCTGCCTACCATAAATCTTTGTATGTTCTATCCTAGAAAGAAAAAGGAAACCTTTTAAAATACTAGCAGAACCTCTTCCAGTACATAAATAAAATTACATTGTGTTACTGATAATGAGCTACAGTGCAGCGGTACTTTTTTCCCCTCCACACTTAATTCATTCCTTTAAACCCTGTCTGCCCAGCATATGGAAAGCTAGTAGAGTTCTTGATCTTCTCTCGAGTATCCATAGGACCACACATTGGCGCCTGCCTGGAAGTTTATTGTAAAATTTGTTGCCAATTAGATTTCACATGGGCAGCAGAAATCAGTGCAAGAAGAAAACCTTTCTTTTTCAGAGCACACAATGCTTATCCTGCTTCAGATCCAGTCCAGACTCCAGTTCACAGAGACCTGGGGATAGTACAAGGAGTATCCTTGTGCTTTTACAACCCCCATGCCATGAAAGACGTGCAATTCCTCCTTTAATGAGGGAAACAGTTGTTTGATTTATAGCTTTTGAAAATATCTTCTTGTTAAAGAAGATATATTTGTAGTTCCAGACAGAAATGAGCTGTTTATAGCAAGGAGTCAGCCCATTTCAAGAACGAGACCTGAAGATCTCACAGATGAGAGACACCCCCTATATCCTGTAAGCAAGCATCTCTTCAAAGTTGCTGACAGACTCCCTAGAATTTTGGATGCTACAAAATACAAATATCATAAAGTAGCCTTGTTTTCAACTGACCAGCAGATTCCATCCTTTCTTCATGTCTGTGGACTTAGCATCGTGAAGTGGACCTTCAGCATTTCTAACTGAAGGGTTGTTGTGCTCCAGGCACCTTGAGATGCTTATTAGGAAAAAGGATGATGCTTCATGACTTGAGCAGAAGTATCTCTGCCAACCCAGTTGATACAGTTCTTTGGGAGTCTGTCACTTGGGTGCTCCATCTCCCAGATGGGCTTCCTGCTGGATGGCAAGTGCTTGCTGCAGAGCCCAATTCTCATGTGCAAGAAAGAGCAGCTCAAGCAGCTGAGGTAGCCTTACTGAGTGACCCTTGAGAATGACTAAAGTGAAGATGGAAGTGGGCAGCTACCTAGAAGCAGATCTTTAGGGCCTGAATACGTGGTGTTGATGTGGAAAGGCTCTCAGCACCAGAACCCTTCAACATAAGAAATTAGGAAGTAACCCAATCATGTCATGAGTAGGGCAATGCAAAATCCACTTCTCTTGAGAATGAATCTTGGCTAACCCCCCGTGATCTGCTGCAGTAGACCTGCATGAGTTGCTCACCCTTTCTGTGCCCCATTTCACCCTTCTGCTAAACCAGGATAAAATTTCTTGCTTACCAATTGCCATAGGAAAATAGTATCCTAGAAAAATAGCAAGATAGACTTAACTAAGCTTATAAATTATTTTGATATTCCCAGATGAAAGTTCCCTGTAAGTATAAAGTTTTATTATTATTTCAGCTGCTCCCTTCCACGGTGTTATTGCCAAAAAAAAAAAAAAAAGGCTTTAGGAAAGCCTCAAATTAACCATAATACTTTTCTTGTTAATGACTAGCAAAACATTATACTTTGCACATATGGGACACAATTGCTTAGTTTCATCTCAGCACACTAACATTTAAGAACCAAAGCAAGTATCCATCCATGTCGTGCTCAGACTTAACATAATTTTCTCTCTTGAAGAATATGTTTTGGGGATAATCTGGCTATGCTTGTTTGCAACTTGCATGGTTTCACATACAATTTATGGAGAGACTAACCTGAGGTCAATTATTGTTACTGTCTTGAAGAATTGGTTATAAACTGGGAATAGCTCCTGCTTTAATCATTTCATTTGCTCTACAAAGCAAAATGGAAATAGTTTATAGTGAAAAAAATGTGTTGTCTTCCAGTGTAAGCATCCAATATTAAAAAATTGCAAGATTAGAAATGATAGCTTTCAGCTGTTGCTCAACAAGTAGTCAATGTTTCTTCTCTTCTGGAAAGCCAATACTCCCTCTTCAGGGAAATTTAAGTGGACAAAATCAAAATGGGAGAGTAAGAGAGACTTAACAAGGCTGCAGTCAGGCCTGTGATTCTCTCTGTAGGAGATGTTTAACATCTTGTTCGCTACCCGCAACTGCCACACGTGGGTTGTTCCTGAAGTGGCCACTGTTAATCTATGTTGAAAGATGCCATAGGAAACTTCAGTGAAAGAACTTGATTATGTATATGTAGAACAGCCTTGTCCCAACACCATATCTCAAATGCAAGGTAAACAAAGAAGGATCAACCAAACTCTAATAGAAAGCAGGAGGAGGAATTTTAGAGAAACTTTTACATTTCTGTCTGGAGACTATCCATGAGCTGTGGTTAGAAACAAAAGATTTCTGCAAGGATTTACTAGTATTTTTCAAAACCACATCAGATGGAAAACCCAGAACCACAGAAACACTGGGGTCAACCCTGAACTTCAATATACCTATGGATTCATGGATTAATGAAAATATGTCTGCAGATATTGTGGCAAAAATTCCTATGTATATGCTAACATTTAATGTGTAAGTACCTGAAAAAGACACAAAAGTGAAGGCTGCAATTCTGTTTTGGTCAGGAAAATGGGATTTCCAACACAAAGGCTTTATTTTGCTTTGAAATGGAGGAGGTGTTTAGTGTGATGAACTTCCAGTAGTTTCCTTGCTTGTCTGGTTGGCAACCCTATCACTTTCCCACAGTTTAATAAAGCTGTTTTAAGGGCCAAATTCCAATCCCAGTCACACTGTGCTCTTCCCTCCCCCGGCCCACGGTGCTGGAAAGAAGATACGCCACGTACCCGGCTGGGACTGAGGACGGTCCAGACTTGGATACCAGAACCCACACAGGGTTAGTCAGAGTCTGGACTTAAGACAGAAAAAACACAGCATCCTCCCACCTCCTCCTGCTGTCACTGTCACGAGAGCTTGGGCCACAGTGACATCTTCCTCTGTGCACGTCTCCTTAGATCTATTGAAGCCTTGCTGCTTGA